AAAAGTAACTTTGCATTTCCGTTCAAATTTTATTACTTAGTATCGATGGGCTTGATTTGTTATTTTACTGTCACTAATACGTTCACTGTTAATAACTAAAATGATTATGATATGAATATATTCCAAGTTTAAAATGTTCAAATAAAATGTCCGTTCTAAACCCTATAGGATTACACAAATCGATAAAAATGTGTCAAAATGCAAGATTTTATTAGCACATGTGAAATTATCAAAAAAACTGTACCCCAAGGTTCAATCTTAGGAACATTGCTTTTGAATATGTTTTAATGCCATTTTTCTTTTTATCGAAAAATCAGTCCTACATAATTGATGATATAGATGATATTCAACGTTTCGTAGTTGGATAGGGAAGTTATTTCACTCGTGAAACAGGATTTTTTGATATTTTCACGAGTGCGAAGCCTGCCTCAAGAGTGAAATAACTTCTGTATCCAACTACCAAACATCGACTAAACTGTTTATTACATTTTCCAGGGTTTCTGTTTTGCTTATATCAGTCGTCTCCAGTTGAAGCCATTGAAAACAATATTGCGCGGTGAATGTAGGTCCATAAGAATGATACAAAAATTGATCAACACAACAGATTTGAACAATTAAACAACTTTAATATAAATCATTAGTGTAATTTTATTTTTTTAAATGTGAAAGTTACAATATTTTTCCTTTTTCTAAAATAAATAAATAGATCAAATATTCAGGGACGAATTTCTAACGAAAACAAATTGAAGTAGGGTTTCGATTTTAGAAATACTATAAATTGATTTTAGCTGCTTTATTAAATGAATGTGGGAAAAATTAAATCGCTGTCGCTACCTAAAGGTAAGATTCGTTTGAATTTTTCGGCTGGAAGGTTATAATTTGCGCTAAGTTGGTGGTTAGACATGCACGATTTGTCATCAATGTTCTTGTTATTCCTGTAGGATATACGTATACATGTATTAAAGACAACTTATCCTGAAAAACTGTTCCCACACAGCATGGAACTGACTTCGGAATCTATGAGGGACTGACCTGATTTGGAGTTTTTGAAAAGGTCTGGGTAATCGTTTAGGGGGCGGAATGATGTTCCTTGTTAAGTAATTTTGGTTTATCAGTTGATGATAAAATTGTAGAGATTTTCCGTTTTGGTCCTTGTTAAATTTGCTGTAGTTGTTGATGCCATTGGTGTTTTTATGTCCTGATATTTGAGTTATCTGGTTGGTTGGAACACCGTCATCTGATAACCTCTGTACTAAATGTTATCTCATACTAGCAAAAGAAGTTTTTTTCTAGTTCATTTCATTTTTTCAATACTATCTCTTATTTAAAAAAATCAATTTCATTCTGTTTTTTACTTTGAATATTTCAAAGAGACACCGTGACGGAAAAAGGAGAAAATTGACAAAAGTAGAATTTTTGCATGACACATGCAAATTTTGTTCAATTCTTGAAGATATTAGGTTTCAGAAAATTACAAGTTTCAGAACCAAAAAAATCTACTGAAAGTAAAAATAATTTTTGTTTGCCCCAACACAAAAATATTGCTTCACTTCTTCCTCTTTATTCTACGCATGCGCAGAAAAGTTGAAAAATTCACCATGCTGTCATAAATGTCGGATGACCGAGGATTTTAATACAATCTTCAATAAAGATGATCAGAACTTATTCCACACTTTTGCTTGCCCCAATTCAATGTTGTTTACAAGTTTCACGCTAAGAATAAAAGACGCGTGACCTTGACATTGTTGACATTGACGATAACAACTAAGCGATAGATACAATCTTTGCTTTTCCGGCACTTACATTTTGCACTTCTTTTCTTGCTTTACAGTGTAGTTGAGTTGTCAAAACTTCGGTATATTCATATTTCATATAAATCTTTTGTTTTATGATATATTTAAAAAAAAACCACACACATGATTTTAACTCATTATGTAACTTTAAAAGAAATGTCAGACTACTCCTAGTTCAATCTGCATCTACTGAACATACCAATGATTAGTAAATCTCCTGTCACTTTCAATCCCTGCAGAGGACTTCATTTGCTTAACCAGACCATATAGTTTATAGCATTGGCTTAACCAGTCCATATACAGGTAGTTTATAGCATTTGCTTAACCAGTCCAAATAGTTTATAACACCCATGACATTTCTTTTGTACCAGTAAATTGTTGCATCTCCTTAAATATGAATTATTTTGCAATTATAACGTTTGCTTTCTTTAGCTAAATTAATTTTAGTTTTTTCAACTTAATTTCAAAATTTTACTGCTAAGAAAATAGTAAGTTTTTCCGGTTTGGTATCAACAGGTCGTACATCACTGTACTTTTTGTAAAGAGAAACATGATCTTTCTCGGGCTTATCTGGTGTTGCATAAGCCCTTGGATTTAATTTCCTTATATCTCGCGGACTGGCAACTGGTCTTGTTTTTGTTTGTCTCTCCTGATTGAAACGGTGTATTCTAAATTTCCTGCCATATTATAATTGAATGTCTCCCAAAGTCAAGTCATGAATTTCTCTGCCGGGGCTCATTCCTAAATGATTAGTGCAAATTGTAAACATGGAAATTGCAATGGAGGTAGGTAAATATGAGTACCCATAGTACCCAGATTCCTTCTGATGCAAGTATCGAATGATACTTGAAACGTAAACCAACAAAGAGGTTGGCTCATATTCTGGGACATCCTTTTTGGCAGAGAGAAGGAATGAAGTTATGAGCAAATTTAGCTCAAATGGGGGTATTATTTCAGGAACCCTGAATTTTCCCTTTGCCTGCAAGAACATTTTGAATGTATTCATATCACATTTATTTATTTTTTTTTTTGAAGTGTTCTTGTTCTAAGTAGTTGCAAGAAACAAATCAATGTCATCGTATATGACATTAGCAAAGAGTTTCTTTTCTGAAACTTGGTCTCCAGATGGTGAGAGCTTAACAGAAAATTTCCCATTTATGTTGTAACTGATTCCTGCTAATGTTTCTTCGTCCAACTCTGCATTCAAGTCATTGTCAGTGTCAATTTGAATCAATGTCATTGTTTTCAAATCCAGCTCATTAAAATTTTCATTAGAGTCAGTGTTTTCATTTTTAATTGATATATATTGAAACATACGACAAAAGAGCTCAGCCAAGGGAGATGAGTTGATGATAGAAATAAGAGAAAGGAATCAAGGGACATAATTCAATGTAGAAATTCTAAAATAAAATGTAGTTCCAATTTTTGGAATTTGTTTCACATTCAGACAAAAGGGGCTTAATGAATAAACTCTGATAAAACTGGAAAAGTAATCAAGGGATATCATTTATTCATAGGAATATGAAAAGTAGTTCCGGTTGATATTCTCTCATACTATGACAGAATATCATTTTCGTACTTTAGATGTGGGAAAGAAAACATTGGAAAAGAAACTAATGTTCACGTTTGGTAAGGATCAAATAGAATCAAATTTGAAGATAAAGAACAATGATCATTCTTAAAAGTCCATATAAACACTTAATGAGCACAGCCAACACGTAACTCTTAAAACAGAGATGAGATCAGGTGCCAAGGAGGAGTAAGCATCCCCTGTTGACCGGTAATACCTACCTTGTGCTCTTTGTCATGATCGGGTAAACGGAAAATCTGTAAACAATTCAGTGTGAAAATTATTGCCTAACAATTTGTTTGAAAAAAAAATATTAATCAATATTCAATCTAACAACATATCAAACAAGGTCATTATATCGACCATAGAATTGCAAAATGTTAACTTTAAAGGAGATTGCTGATGTACTTGTATCATCAACTTATTTGTCAATAGCACCAACAGCTCTTGGGGAATTTTTGTCAAAGCATTGAGATAATTTAAACAAAAGGATAATTGGTCAACTACATGTACATATAAATAATATTTTAACCCCACAAGGTGGCCCTATCAAAGGGGAACGACACAGACGGATTAGAAGCAACTGTAAGTTAAATTGCTATTACCAATTTTGACTACCAGCTTAATTTTGACAAATTTATTTAAAAAAAAAATTAATATTACAATGTATGCAGGAAAACATAACAACAAATAAATGTTCTCAAACGTTATGAGGATGTTTGTCAAAAATAAACAAGATTACAATTTTACATGTTTTTATATTATAAAATTTAAATTTTTCCCAATGGTTTGGCAGTTTTGAGATAATTTAAACAAGAGACTAACTGCCACCTACATGTCAATATTTTAACCCCACAGTGTGGCTGTATCAAAAGGATCATGACATTGTGGAACTTGAATCCCTACAACATGGGAAGCTTAAGTTTCAGAATGATTAACGACATAACCTTGATGTTTTGGAAGAGATTTTTTATTGATTTTCTTTCCTGCATAAAATTTAATACAAACCTTACCCCAGGATTCATAATTTGAAAAAAAAAAAAAACTGAATCCACACAATTTGGAATGTTACATATTTCATAATTTAGTGGCCCTGCTGTTGTTGAAAGAGTTGTTTTCCCCAACACATTCGTAAGTAAAATATGGACCCCCTTCTAATGCCCACCCTAACCTTCAGGGACATGATTTGAATAAAATCAAATCTGCACAATTTGAAAATGTTTGCATATTAATATGAATAATTAATATTACCCTGTTGTTCTTGATTAGAAAATGTTAAAGATTTTTTTCTTATATATTCCAATGTAAAACTTAAGTGTCCGCAAGCTGTTTACGACAAATTTCAACCCGAAAATCTCCTTTGAACCTCTACCTCAGGGGTGCTAAATTATTTTTTCAAAATCTTTTGACAAAAAATTGAATTTGTAACTGTCAGGATCTGTAATCTTAATCTTTTCAATGCTTTTATATACATTCAAACAACGTATAGAATGCCAAGTTTGTGTGAAGTGTATTTTGTAGATTGAAGTACAGAACGTAAGTAAACATGTACATTGAAAACCTGCTACAAAAAAAGTTCAGTAACATTCTTTTGTAGAGAACGAAGAGCTAAAGGTTATTCCTGACTGGAATTCAGATTTAAAAATATCTTATTTTATTTTAAAATCATTTCTGAACTTTTGCAAGGTATATTTATCAAACGTTTCTCAAAATAAGTAGAAAAGGTTAAACAGAATCACATTTACTCTTTGTTGTTAATAACATACACACAGAAATCCCAATGAGGAGCACGGATGTGAGAAAGCAAATGACATCTAATATTTTCAGTCCATACTTTTTCAGAAACTTGACCAGAGCGTTCTTTTTTCCAGTGATTCCATTACTTGATACAGAGATAGTGTCATCATACATATCAAACGTCGACGGTTTTTCCAAGTCGTTGTTCATGGGTTCAACTTTGATTTCGCCATTTGTTAATCGTTTATTGGCAATAAACGAGTGAATCACGGTGTTGATCACCATAATTGCACTTCCGATTATGGAATATAGATAATATTTACCTGAAGAGAAATAAACCTTATTACAAAAAGGTGTTATAAAGAGTTAAGCAATCTTAAAAATAATCAACTTCGTTACGAAAGAGGTGTTAACAAAAATAAAAAGTAAACAATCTTAGAAATAAACTTCTTTGTTAAAATCGGTGTAAAATTTAAAATCTCTAAAATGTTCAGTTACCTAGCACTGGTACTGCGTTCGAGTTTTTCGGAATGATGTCTCCAACTTGTACAAGAAACACAACAAAAGCCAAGAATATGGTCATTCCACAGGAGATCTTCTCTCCTTGGTCATTTGGGATGAGGAACGCAAATATTGTCAAACAATTCAGCAAAGCAGAAGGACCGAACATGGTAAAAGTATAATATAGTGACTTTCTAAACAAGCAGAACTTAATGGAAGCAATGTTCAAATACTCTGGGGCCGTGGTCCTGAAGCCGGTGATGGTCCAGATCGGATGGTCAACGGTCATAATGCCTGCCCCCGTTACAGATTGTATTGGGGTGTCTGAAAACTTTAATCGAACCTCCAAGGAAGAGTGTACTGTTAGACCAAACATCATGACACAGCTTTGTACATCGAAGGGGAAATCTTTGGGGTCTAGAGGACAGGAGACTGCCATTTCCCCGGCGTGAGTACAACTTACTTCTCCTGTGTGCTGAATTCTCAATAAATCATCTTTTAAGCCGTTGCTCAGGAAACCTGAATCCATTCTAAAATTCAGTGCAAAATGACAATAAATGATTTTTTTTTAAATATAGGTTTGTGCAGTGTTTGTCTTTTACTGATCATTTCTATTTGAGGTGCCTTACTATAAATTCATTAGTAATCAGCATGCGTAATTAGTACATATTGTATTTAATTCCTGCCCCTCCCTCCCACCCCTAGATCATATTTGAAATGTTAAAATAAATCTGTTTGGTTGAAGAAAATCAACCGTACAATTCACCTGTAATTTGCGTACGCCGATCGTAAAATATCATAGTAAATTATGTATCCATATATCAGAATTGAAACAAAAATAACAATATGCTAAGGAATTTCACATAGTATTAAATATGCATTTATGTATATTTCTTTTTCAAAGAGAAAAAACAAACAAAACAAAAGCTATGGAATTCCATCAAAGGGTCTATTTACAGGTATGGTCATGTTGGACCTTCAAAAGGCTTTTGATACTGTAGATCATGAAATTTTATGCAAAAAACTTAATGCCATTGGAATAAGAAATACTGATTGGTTCAAATCTTACCTATCAAATAGAAAACAGTTTGTACAATTAGAAAATATTATGTCTGACCCAGGTACAGTAAAATGTGGTGTACCGCAAGGCAGTATTTTAGGCCCTCTACTATTTTTAATCTATGTCAATGATATGGCTTCCAGTATTGATCCTGACTGCAAACTTATTTTATATGCTGATGATAGTGCAATCTTATTTTCTCATAAAAATGTAGATTTTATTTCAGAAAAACTTAGTACTGTTTTAAAACAATGTTCAAATTGGCTAGTAGATAATAAGTTTTCTCTACACCTTGGGAAGACTGAATGTATTTTATTTGGATCAAGAAAGAAGCTTTCAAGTGTCCAAGATTTTCACATTGAGTGTAATGGACATACAATACATTCTATGGAAAAAGTTAAATATTTAGGAGTTTTTGTTGATCAATTTTTGAGTGGTGAATTTATTGTTGAGTCCATTGTACAAAAGGTCAACAACAGGTTGCGTTTTTTTATACAGACAAGCTCGTTTTTTGGAAATAAGAAGTAAAATGTTATTATGTTCTGCTTTTATACAATGTCATTTAGATTATGCTTGCTGTGCATGGTATGCAGGTTTGTCAAAGAGTTTGAAAAAGAAATTACAAGTATGTCAAAACAAAATGGTAAGATTTATTCTGAATTTAACTCCTTTACATTCCATAAACTACAAAGTGCTTAGTACATAAAATTATTTAAATATAGAAGACCGGGTACGACAACTCAGATTAAACCATGTGTATAACATATATCATGGTTGTGCGCCATCCTATCTAAGCGAAAATTTTACTTTAAGGTCAGCTGTGTCTTCACGAAACACTACAGCATCCACTGATGAAGATTTTTTTATTCCTCATGTGAAAGCATGTAAAGCGGATACTTTTTTACTATAATGGCATTAAGGACTGGAATTTTTTACCAGCTTTTATTAAATGTACTAAAGGAAAGAGTACTTTTAAGAAACAAGTTAAGAGTTTTATCTTACAAATGGCATTTTAGAACATGAAAGTGATATGTTTCAGCATTAACTTATAAACATATTTTATTATTTTATTGATCCTATATGTTGTCATACTTAAATTAAATTTAACGTGTAAGCAGCGCAGTGCTAAAATTATAGTGCCAAAAATTGTTGTAGTGCTTTAATGATGAAACATTATATTTTTATCTTATTTAGGGTAGGACCCCATTGGAAATAAGCTCTCCAGCTTTCATGGGTTATCCTGGTATCAACTAGTCACTATCTAAAATATGGTTTCCTGAATATTTATTTATAAATCTATTTAAAATTTATGGATTCCCAAATATGGTCTTTTAAATGATATATGTATATTTATGTGTATATGTTTCATGTATGATGACATATGATACCAAATAATAAATGATAATGATAGCATATAGTCACCTGATTTCTGCCAATAGCTTACCGATACTGGTTATAGATATATGATATTGTCATTTGTGTTATCAAGTATGCAAACCTGAATAGTTTATATAAATATAATGTACACGTTATATTGTACCTAATGTACCAAGATTTTGGTTTGAGAGAATAAACTTAATTGAATTAATGCTATGAGAGCATAAATTTAATATTACAACAATCGAACAAGAGGCCCATGGGCCAAAAAGATCACGTGAGTCTCTTTGACCCTGCCTGTTCTTCATCATCGGATTTTTATTTTAAATTTCCCTCTTTAATCTCTAAGAAATTTGACTCCATATTATATTGTATGTACCCAAATCTAGCCCCAAGAGAGCTATGATTTAATCAAAATTGAATCTACACAACACTGGGATGCATCAATATCAATATGATCAACATGACTCTGCTGTTCTGAAGAATTTTCCTGTACATACATGTGCATACATTATGTAAAGTTTGGATCTCTTATTTCGGCCCAACCTAAAGTAATTGCTCGTAATTAAAAAAAATTATTCCACACAACTTACGTATGTTTTTCTAATCAATATGATTTAATGTGGTCTTGCCACCCTTGAAAATACTTATTCCTATATTCTCTCTAATGTAAAACCCCGACCCCCTGTTGTAATCTCAACCTATTCCTGGGGGCCCTGATCTGAAAAAAAACTTTTAAACTACCTGAGAATGCTTGCTTATCAGTATGACTAATAATGACTTTGCTGTTCATATGACGAAGATTTATATATATTCCTGTATAAAGCTTCCTATTTCGGCCCCACCCTATCCCCAGGGGCCATGCAAGATTTGAACAAATTTGAGTCAACACTACTTGAGGATGCTTCCATATATATTCAAAGTAACTAACCAAGACTCTGCTGTTCTTGAGAAGCTAAGAAGATTTTTTTTCTCCTAATGTGGTCCCAACCCTATCCCCATGGTCATGTTTTGAACGAAGAATTTTCACTACCTGAAGAAGCTTCCATATATTTATGACTTATCATAGCTTTGGCTGCTTTGCTTTTTTGGAGAAGAATTAAGGTCTATAATAAAGATTTTTTTCCCCTATATATTCTTATGTACAACTTTTATCACTAAATGTGACCCAATCCTACCTCCGGGAATCTTGATTTGAACAAACTTGAATCTACACTACATGAGGATACATATCAATGGTTACATGTACATGACTAATTTTTTGTGTTAAGACTTTTGACTCTATAGATCTATGTAATTCTCTGATCGGCTTATGTGGCCCTATCTATGCCCGAAGTGTTACGATTTGAACAAATTTTAATCGAAACTGTGGTTCCTGAGAAGATTTTTAAAAAGATGCTACCAAATTTTCACCATTTCGTCATTATCTCCCTTAGAAAAGTCTTGGAGTTTGGTCCTTAATTTGAAAAAAAAGAACTCTCGTCACCCAAGGATACTTTGTGGCAAGTTTGGTTGAAATTGGCCAAGTGATTCTTGAGAAGAAAGCGAACATTTGAAAAGTTGGACAGACAGCGGCCAGATAGACAGAAGGATGGACGCCAAAAAATGTGATCAGAAAAGCTTACGAGCTTTCAGCTCAGGTGAGCTAAAAAGTGGGTAAATCAAAAATTTTAGCAAGAGGAAAGACAAGTACATGTAAAAGGCTTCTTTCGTCTTAAAAAAAGAAACTCAAAATTTCCTTTCTTTCGAAATAACTTAAAAGCCTTTTTCTTATGCCTTGGATAAAGTATCTAGTGATATCTTTTAGCGTTTTCTTTTTTAAATGGTATTTCATAAATCAAAAGATATTTTACTCTTTTCAAAAGTCATGTAAATTTGAACCCCCCCCCCAAAAAAAAAAATATAAATAAATAAATAAATAAAAAACAAATAAATAAATAAAAATTTAGAGGTAAAAGAAGACGTCTTACCCTTTGGCAAATTACTAGTATTTTAATTATCCGTAGTAATAATAAGACTATATTGTGATTTTATCTTATGTGCCCCCCCCTTTTTTTAGAGTGTTTTCCCTACAGGTAAAAAAAAAAAACATTGAGAAATAGATCCCCCCCCCCAATTTTAGTTATATGAGTATGTATCCCCCCCTTGTCAAAAATCGCTATTGGTTTATTGTCAGGAAATTTTAGGGTTCTGTGTTATGTTTTCAAGAGGAAATAATCCTTCCTCCACCTTCGCTGTATAAATATTTCAGGATCGTCCTTTTTTCATTCTCGTAAATGAATATTGTTGCTTTTAAGCGTGGTGTAACTCTTTTGTCTCCATAAGCTGTTCTAAATATATCGTTTTCGACTGATACATAAAAAGAGAGAAGGCTTGCAACTCTTTTTTCATCGTCTGCCTCACCTCGCTTAAACTTCGCCTGATTATTTATCGAAAGAATAAGAAAACATGGAATATGCATACATCAATAAATTCGTTATACATTCTTCTTCCTTTTCATATTTCCATTTAATTTTTATGTGCCCCCGACTTGTAAATATTTCGATTAAATCACCCGCATCTAGGGTAAATTTTGTTGATGTGCACCAGCTGGGACGGAACTTCAATAACGGTAACTCTAACTTTATAAATGTTCTGCATTAAAAAAAAATCCCAGGCTTTGCAATAACAGTATTGTGAAATTTGGTTGTCTAGGTCGTCTGTTAAAAGTTAATCTTCATCCATTTGAATTTGCTAGTTAAAGTTATCTTCAATCTTGTTATTCACAGAACTTACCGTTACATGTTATATGAAGAGAAAATTCGGCATTTATTCCTTCTCGCATTTAATGTTCCGAATGACATTACACGTAATGATGATACCCGAAAATACCGGCACTTCCGTCCTAGCTCGAATTTACCCTAGATGCAGGTGATTTAATCGAAATATTTACAAATCGGGGGCATATAAAAAAGACAATAGAGTTACATTATTGATAACATATACAGTGCATATTAGAATACAAAAATAGAAGGTGACTCGACCCCAGATTTAAAAAGAAAAAAAAATGGAAGGGGGGGGGGGGCGTTCATACCCCAAGTGCCTGTGGTAGTGTGTATAGTTATTTAATGTAACATACTTGTTAAGAACATAAATAGGAGGGGTCCAGGCTTCTTTACCGATAACTACAATAGAGCTGACATTGTACTTCTCTTTATTCCACCTCATTAGTTCGTCTCTCCAGCTCTGCATGAAAGAAAGAATTGTTTGTTGGATTTAATAGAAACATTAAATAGCATTTGACAAAACGAGCGTCCGAATTTTCAAAAAAAAAAAAATTAAAAGAATTTTAAATACCATTTCTAAATTTCCCATGATTGTGAATTTTCCATCAATTTCATCCTGGAAAAAGAAACAATTATATAATTTCAAGAGAAGATTAATTTTCTACAAAGAGAAAAAAAAAGTTTTTGATCCAAAATTAGGAAAACAAATTATTCAAATAAATTACGTAAAGTCTACAGTGTCTGCATCGAAATCAAAATAAGAGGATCTTAATTTAAACTTCTGAATCTACAAATAAATTAAAACATCTATAGGGTCTGAGAAATCAGCAAAAAGCCTTGCGATCCATGCACGGATGAATAAGTGATATCTTAGAGTTGTAACAAATTTTTACTTGACTAATAAAGCCATGTGATTGCTACGCAATAAACTGTGATAAGTTCCTATAATAACCAATCGAGTGATACATGTCAGCCATTTACACGGTGTAATGAGCTCTGATGAGGTTTTTCTTACCAACGATGTCGTCAATGACAAGTTGACATCTCTATGTTTTGTCGAGTCTTTACTTAGTAACATTTTCAACAACAAATCATGAGATCCATGACGTGATTATATCTCTAGTCTACATGCTCTCGTGAGTTTTAGATCCCAACCAAACAACTTCAGAAACATTTTGACCCCTGACAATGTAATGTTAATGCAGTGACTGTTGGCGTAACGAGTTCTTACCAATCCAACAACAAACCCCGTGACCCACGACAGCGTGACATTTATAGGCTCAGAAGAGTCCCTAGGTAATGCTAACGGGTTGTGCCTAGTGGTGTTGAAGAGATCAGATCTTAGTTCCTGTTCATTACACAGTATACCTGCAAAGATACATTTTATCTGAAAATCAAACATCACAGATATATTTCATTTGAAAATCAAACATCACAGATATATTTCATCTGAAAATCATACATCACAGATATATTTCATCTGAAAATCATACATCACAGATATATTTCAATTATATATGTATCTTAATGTTATGATTCTTTTTTTTTTTTTTTTTTTTTTTTTTTTTTTTTTTTTGCATCAAATTTATAATTTCTATTTCCATATTTTGATAATGGTCTTGCCTGTCTGCTGAATTTTTAAACGAAAAGGAAACCATTTCAAGTACACGTATTTAATAAAGAATGAGTGCACTTTAGAGCGTCATTTGGAACCTTTTCGGCCACCCATTTTAAGCCTTGAATTAGACTATATCGCTAAGTTAATCTATGATTATTGTGCATACATATGCTTTTGATATTTTTACTTCGAATTTTTTGTTTAGCATATTTCTATAATTTCACACGACGACATTGAAAAGAACATGTATAGGCCTCAAATTCCGGAAAGAATGAGTGCACTTTAGTACGTCATTTGGAACCTTTTCGGCTACCCATTTTAAGCTTTACATTACAATATATCACTTAATTAATCTATGATTATTGTGCAAGTATATTCTTTTGATATTTATTCCTTGAATTTTTTGTCAAACATATTTCTATAATTACAGACAATGTCATTGAAAAGAACATGTAGAAGCCTTAAATTCCGGAAATTTGAACGGGACCACTTTCGTATTTAAGGTATCCGCAAATAGGCGGAGACATTTAAATCGCATGGATGTGGAATGTAAACATTAGCACATATAATTTTTTTTTCGCACTGCGAATTTAAATGGAGAAGAGAGAGATTGTGTAGTTTCATGGTGCACAAATAATAAAAGATTCTAGTGTTTAGGGATGGGGAAGATGTCTCGCCCTGCAGACCATTATACAGAGGCGACATGAGCCTGTACATGTACAACGTACTTACTAATCACACTGTCAATGCCAGAATTCTTTCAAAACACCCCTAATGAAAAAATACAAAGTAAAATAAGAGACATATAATCTTCAAACCCTATTAAAATTTGCGCAAATATCTTCCATAGTTTGAAGTTGGAAGTACGATAGATACTGTCACAATAGAAACTTTCAATGACAAACACAATGAAATATTCAATGAAAGCCTTAGCGTATCGAACAGTGGAATGTCACGTGAGTAAAGTGATTATAATATCAATCGTTGACACTCGGTGAACTGTTAATTTAGTGGCTAATTCGACCATAGTTTGGAGACTTTTTCAAAAAATTAGATATGAGCCGCAATTTGTCCAACATTGTCCTTTGGATATGTTGAAGTTTAAATTAAAATACACATTCTGTGCAAATGAGACCAATGGACAGGTTGCGGCTCGATGTAAACAATGTCTTTGAAAACTGGTATGCATATGAATAACAATAGAAATGTGACAAAACTGTTAGACCCCCGTCTCAAAAGCTAGTGTCGCTCGGCATTATTTAATACTTTCATGTAATATAATATACCAAAACCTGCTCTTAAGACATTGTTTAATACCTATAAAACATAAAGTTTATGAACTTCGGAATTTTATTTTGCGCAAAAAACCGGGACCCAACTCTCATAGCTTAAGTGCACTCATCCTTTGAACGGACCAGTTTCGAATTTAAGGTACCCGCAAATGATATTTAAATCGCATGAAGTGGACACATAACGTAAACAAATGGAGGAGAGAGAGATTGTGTATGATTCACACAAATAATAAATGATTCAAGACTATACGTACATATTGATAATTTTTATGATCCGTATCCGTATGTTTGCTGCCTAGCACCGAATCAGCTCAATATCTTAAGTTTTCGTATATATCTGTATTTTTTAGGAAAGATTCACATTTATATGGCTTCGATGTCACACTACATTTAATCGTAATTCACTGTACATGTTGTATGTAGTAATACAAACGTGTAGTGAAACAATTAAAGTATTACATGTATGTAGTACTCACGGTGATACATATTTTATTATATGCATGTATAGATAAATAACACTTGGAAATGAAATATAAAGTTTTAACTGAAAATTTGAGTTGCTAGGTTAACATGAAAATTCTAAGAAATACAAACTATATGTGAAGATTATGCACTTCATGTAATGCTATTGATGATGAATTTCATTTCTTTTTACAATGTCATTGTAATATACAAGCAAGGAATATACTTATAAAAGCCATGCTAGATAATTATTGTTCCTCATTCTATCTCGAATCACCCATACAGAAACTTGAATATATATACTTAGTCCAACTCGTGAAGTTATACTGACTGTTTGCACTTTTATAAAACAATCATTAAAATTAAGAAATAAAAGGTCCACATCGGTGTAACATATATTGAGTAAATTACTGAAATTGTGCCTATTGTTATTATATATTATTCATTGTCCTCTGGGTTTTTTTTTATTTTGCAATAAAGAAATTATAAATGTAATTTAAATTAACATTTTTTGACGGAACAAGTGTATTTGATATTAAAAAACATGGTCAAAGAAAATTCTACAACGTTACTATGTCGATAATCACTCGCAAATGTCTTCAATATCTGTTTCATTTCTGCAATCTAAATATTGTCACGTATGATACTATTGTTTAGGGATGTGTCTGTAGATGCTTACAGACCATAATACAGAGGCGACATGAGATAGCTCAGCTACATGTACCTACTAATTGTGCACCTGATTTGCACTGGCAATACCAGAATTTCTTTCAAAATTCCAAACGAAAAACACAGTTTAGTGAAAGAAGATGAGGTAAACTTTAAGACCTTAATAAAATTTTCGCAAAATTCTTCAATATTTTGAAGTTGCTCAGGCCGGTACACACGGCGAGAGTTGTAATATAATACAAGTATTATATTTATATTATTATACTTCCCTGTACACACGCTTATACATGTCTTATTAGATTGTTAATAGACTTTAGGTATTTCTACGTGTTTCCCTCGCATTATCTCTCTCTCTCTCTCTCTCTGCACTGCATTAAAACTGAAAAGACCACCATTATGGAAACAGCGGCGGAACACTCGTACGTGTACTTGGTGCACATAATGTATCGCTAGATGAGGTGCAAAGAGAAGGCCCCAGAAGTTATAAAAACTTCTTTAGAATAGATAGTGTAGCATTTGAGCAACTTTTACAACATTTAATCACATGTAGTTACTCCTTTTGATCTCCTTCCCATAAATCATATGTTTACTGCTAAAGTCGACCTTTATTTACCATGTGCTTTTTTTGTTATGATAAAAATAGGATGACCCCAATGTGAGTAATTTTGATTGTATTAAAAATGAAAGGTAAGTTAAGACTTGTATAAGAAATAGAGCATTGCCCTTTTCTTAATAGTTTTATAAGATTCGAAAAAATCTTATGATTAACTGTATTAAAAGTCTATCCATAGTGAGATTTTGCACTTAAATACATATTCGTGTGTACAGCCATGAAGTCGATTGACAGACACAATGAAAGCATATCGAACAGTGGAATCACGTGAGTAAAGTGATTATAATATTAAACGGGTCAAAATAGGTTGACACTCGGTGACCTGTTAATTTAGTAGCTAACTTGACTGACGTTTGGAGAATTTTTCAAAAAAAATACATATGAGCCGCAAATTGTCCAACATTGCCCTTTGGATATGTATAAGTTTAAATCAAAATACACATTCTGTGCAAATGAGACGAATGGACAAGCTGCGGCTCGATGCAAACAATGTCGTTGAAAACTGGTATGCATATGAATAACAATAGAAATGTGACAAAACTCCTATACCCCGTCGCAAAAACCAGTGTCGCTCGGCATTATTTAATATTTCCATTTGATATAATATATCAAATCCTGCTCTTAAGATATTGTTTAATAATACTGATTCAAAAAGTTTATAAACTTTAGATGTATTCACTATTACAAAAGAATTGACCTATAGGAGAGAACAATTTCCCGGAAAAAAGTTACATTTAAAAATCAATCTTTATTCATTGTTTTCTACTGTATATATATATAAATTTTTCAAATTTGTATTTTACAACTAAAATTTATTATTTACAAGTTTACAATAAACCTCCAAAGTGGGCCGAAACACCACTATGTCCGTTAAAGCGTTGATTTTTGCATGAATTTTGGCCTAGAAGTCCTTCAGGGCAGGCCTGCCCCTAAATAAAATTGTGATATTTTGATAGGTTGGGATGTAAGGAATTATTTTAGATCGGATTTTTTTTAGGGGCACCCCTGCCCTAGGGTCGAAATTCACAAAAAAAACTACGAAAAATAAGGAAACCTGATTTTGACAATCTGCTTCAAATTTATACAATGCAATTTTATAGTCTGAATAGCTCAGTTAATATATGTGTGAAGTCGGGGGTTCGAATCCACCTGGTGCCACACTTTTATAGTTTTAAATTTTCACGTTTTCAAAGACTATTTTAATTTTTTTTTATAGGCTTGTTTATTTTCCTTCAATTATCTATCCTTGATTCATTCCCATTCTTGATATAAAAACACCAGAGAAAGATCAAATCGTAGCAATCCAATGTACAGTTGTCAGTCAAGCGGAACACTTTCTCCGAGGACAAGAATAACTCACACTGTGTTACATGTTCTCGATACAGGTATTCTCGGCAGCATTAAGCTGCGATGAATTTCAATAGAATATATTCCTTTGAATTAAATCACATTGCTTTTATTCCGTCTGTGCTACTAGTGCTTGTCTGGGTTACATGTGGTATTTTACGTATTGCTTGAATTATTTGAAATTAATATATTTAGAATAACATAAATGATTTTTTGTTTTCAATGTTCTAAGATCTTAAGTTTTGAAACAGTTGGGCTACATGTATCAGTAACTGTACTCCCTTGGATTTCATTTAGGCCTATATAATTTGCACACATTAATGGCATGTTTTTATTATATCCAACGGAAATGTGTTGTAAAATAAATAGCCTGGACATAAAGAATAGAATTCCAAAGACAGTAGACATAGCCATTATGTACAATGAGAAGTAAAGAAAAATATCAATTATTACATTTGGAGATAACAAACTCAGAATATTAATGAAAGTGTTCCTACTAACTCTACTTACTGAAATAAAGATTTATGAAAAACAAATTGTTACATGTATTCAGCTTCTAGTCATTAACCGAAACGGAAATCGACAAGCTTTTTGTAGAGAAAAAAACCAAGCCCGGCCCTATAGGTCAGATCCCTTATATTTATATAGAAGTGAACATTTCGGAAATTTACTTTTGGCAAAGCATCGGGACCCAACTTTCATAGCTTAAGTGAACTGATCCTTTCAGTGTCAAAAAACCCTACTGATTTCATTATTTTACACACACTGCGAGAGAGAGAGAGAGAGAGAGAGAGAGAGAGAGAGAGAGTTTTCAGACACCTTTACTTACTGCTTAGCGTTCCAAGTAAACCTAAGAGTACCAGTAATGCCATGTTAGATTATAATTTTCTTTCTACTTTTGCATGTTCCTGATAATCATTAAGACAGAAATACAACTGTACCGCGAGTCACCCACTCTAAACTAAAAATTGATTTGATTAAATCATTTTCTAAGGCCTCTTTTGTTGAGCCCATTAAGGATGAATTAGAGTAAATAAAATGGTGATGTCTGTGTATTTAGTAATTATTCACTTCAATTCGAGCAACATTTACTGAATAAGGTTTTTAACAGATGCACATGTTTAATTAACTTGAAAGGTATGGTATCCTTTTAATGAGAATAAAGAAGTAATTTTTCTCTCATACATTTATGATCATAGTGTTCAAGTAAAGAAATCGATATTATTTCGTTGTGATATCTACCGCTGTCGACAGATGATGGCAACATTGCTCAATTAATAAACAATAAAATGCCTTCTTTGTTTGCTAAGGAATATTTTTAATTTATAAATTTTGTGCTCATATAAAACGCATGCACAGGTAGAGGTGGGCTCTGGAGCGTGACACTTGCATTTAGAAGTAATATTTACTAATTGATTACAGTATTGCAAGTTGTCAAATACAATTTTATTTGATTTTCTCTCTATACACACATCAATATAACTGTTCAATATATTGATTATTCAGTGCATGTTCTACACAGGGAAATTATATTAAATCATATAATGATTTTTGCCGAAAGAATTTTTTGCAGAAAAATCTTGTTCGTCATAATTTCAAACCTTTCAGCTATAAGAACTTTAATCTAAATATACTTAATTCATAAATTGAATATGACTTTTATATATTTGAAGCTATAGGCATTTTTGTACGCCTTGTTCGCCGTTCTTCTTTTAATAACGGGAAAATTAATGTTATTTAAATTCAGAAACCTAAATCTGTCCTAGATATTCAAAGAGTGAAATCTTGGTGATAGACCCTAAATGGGATCAGAAACTGAACTGCAATTAAGTTACATTTTGAATTTATCTTAATTTATCCCAAGATTTATTTCATGTACAATAAGTTTCCATGGAATATTAATTTTCGTTAAAACAATAAATATTACTATGTCTTTTATTTCCTAAACAAAAATTAAATGGCATAATTTTTATATTTCAAGAAAATTTATAAAATATTTGGTAAAACTCCGGAGCTTCGGGGCCCTCACCAGCAGGCACGTAGTATCAGGGGAGCCTCCCCCTACTTATTCCCAAAACTTAACCTTTTACTATTGAAAATGTACATTGAAAGGATGGACCCCCACTGTTTGTTGCACCATTGCTAAATCATGGTAATTTGATAATGTATTAATAAGAATTTGGTTTGTGAAAGATGGACACCCCTCCCTCCCCCCTCATCAAACACACACACACGCACAAGAAATAGGAATTCGAATTTTGACAATCTTCCTTTTTCGTCCTTGCTTGTCAAAATTTATAAAGTTGTAATTTTTTCCTGGCTGGCAAAAACTATGTTACGTACCTGACCAGAGCCCTTAAACACTGGGGAGAGGGGGCTCAAGACCCCCAACCCCCTGCCGTTCTCTGCGTACACATCATTTCTACTCTGGCTACGCGCCTATTCGGTATTATATTTTTTTTCTCGGGGGGGGGGGGGGGGGGATATAACATAATACATGTATCAGTCTGTGATATAACACAATACATGTATCAGTCTGTCAGAATCAGATAACAAACTGTTATTTAGAGGTGAGGTAAGATTGATAGTCACGATATTGGCCATAATAGTATAATTATTGTACATTTTTAAAATATCCTGACTAGATCTAGAAGAAAAGCATGCCGTTTTTTTTTTCGGAAAAAAAAACTGAAAAGAGGAATAGTGGGCGGGGGGGGGGGGGTAGGGGGAGGAGCAGGGTGTCGAGAAAATAGGAAAAAATATTAAGTTTTCTGGACAAGAAAATGTGGTTACATGTATTGCATGATAGATAATACATAATGGGTGATGGATATTTCGTCTCAGCTTTTCAGTCTTGTTCATGCTAATTAAGTACTGCTCGAAGAAATTATAAAGAAAACTGTTTATTGAAGAGATTATTGGTTTGTCCAATAAAAATTTTGCTTAAATCAATTTGTCATATTGATGAAAATTGAATTTTAAACCAGGAATTCATTTTCTATGACACCACTTGATGTCCAAGTTGGCTTGTCGTGTTTCCCGCGCCACAATCCCTTTAATATGCAGTTACCGTTCTTGGCATTAGAACTCTTTCGTACCTAATTGGAACGTTGATGCAGACTGTTTGGGGAATCACTGTAGTTTTACAAATATAATTGATCTAACTCTTATCTTCTATAAACGGTAAGTCATAAATTGTTATTATCTACATCATAAATCATTGCAAGTGACGCAACTCACTCAGTCTAGCGTTAAATGTTTGAAAGCTTTTAAAACAACAAATTTAAAAAAAAAAAATGGCCTCCTTGATAAAGTTTCGCTCACTGGCAGGCACATATTTCATTTGGTCCTGCGAAATGCATCAGACTGTCGGTCCGAATGTCCGGTATTAAATTTTTTTTTTCGCGATCACTGCATTTAGGAAAGGGGGGGGGGGGGCACACAACATAACTTCTTCGTCAAACCGTCAGACGTTAATATTCAGGGGTCACAACCGTTTGTCGTATAAAATAAGGCTGGTTTTAATTTTTAATGCGTATTTTGAACAATTCAATGGATATTTCTGCATTTTTTTTATATACATGTCATGTTGTAAATTTTGAATTTACCGGGTGGCAGAAAATCACAAAATTTACAACATGACAACTCGGTCATGTTGTAAAATTTGTATTTACTGCCACTTTGTTCTGTTGTAAATTCTGTATTTACTGCCATCCGGTAAATTCAAAATTTAAAACATGACATACACCTTATATGGAGTTCTGCAACATAGGATATTTGATCCCGCCAATATCATTATGCATCTGTACTAGTACTCTTTGGATAATTGAACTAAATCTAAAAAGAAAAAAAATACACCAAAAAACATCATTTTTTCCATGATAAAAATTTCAGAACCGCATTTTTAATGGATTATTATTATAATAGAGTTTTGAGTTTCATTGTCACTTGTTTAAGAGAAATTTAAATTATAATTAACCCTATAGCATATTTTATTCAGAGATTTACTAGAGAGAAATGAAGACTTGAAAAAAAAAAATCATATAAATTTCTGCTGTACTTATTTTATTTTGTCCACATGAAACTCCAATGATCAACCATCGGTAAATTAAAGAGAGATAATTTAGCTTACCAATTCAATTCAATTTAATTTGTTTATTTACCAATTTAGGGCCCTCATGGGGCAAAAAGAAAGTACACTGTAAACCATTCTTACCATTCTACTTCAGATTTGGCTCATTCATGTATGATGGATGTTGGTGTACTTCACACTGGAGTCACCCTGTTTCTAATGCTACTGAGTCCGCCCTTCACATCAGCCTATGGTAAGTACATGTATACTCCGAAGTACTTGACACTGAATATTTTATTTTATCACTATGGTTAGTATGCTGTACAAGGGGGAATACACAAGGGTGGAAGATGGGACTTGGTATTCAATGGGGGCCTAATACCTCCATCCCCCTTCCTGGATTTTCACACACTGTCAGGTACTTGTGGACAGGATGTATGCAGAGACAGTGTGAACCGACATTTTAGGTTAAAATAAAATACATGTAAATACATGTTTTTAAACCCAGAAGGATCAGTGGCGTACAACGTAAACAAACCGGAGTGGCATACCTTTCTCTCTTATAATGTATAGTGGGGTATTTTTGTGTGCAACGATTATTTTGGGGTTTTCACGATTTTTACCTATGGTACACATGATGAATAAGGGTAATAAATATAATTTGTGAAAAAAAAATGTCCAACAAGCCCCTGGGTTGAATATCGGGGGGGGGGGGGTCCTGTGCTTAACATTAGAAAAGTTACGACCTACATGTAGATAATTATGTATATCCTTATACTTATGACGTAAAATCACTTTTCTTGCCCCTTACTTAAATAATAAAATAAAATCATTCAAAGTCTTCTTCATGTGAACTGTTTTAGCATGGGGGGTAATCGTGTTAAAAAATCCAGACTTGTAAGTTTGTAATCCAAAGTTGCAATCGTATCAGTTTCATATTCTACATATATAAGTAGGTAATTCCGACATCCTAGCATTATACAACTGTGTTGACTTTGAGTTTATACTATGAATGTGTGTATTTTTGATGCTGTAAACTATGTTTTCCCGATTTTATATTGCCGCGCTCTGAATAAAACACAAAGACAATTCACAAGTTTACAAATGTAAAGTGTACATGTTTGTCGAATTTTGATCATGAGAAACTATGGAGGGGCATCAATGCCACGATTCTTTTTAAATTTTCTTATTTTCTTTTAACTAATTCGACAGTTTCGACCTAAATAAAATCAAAATAGTCTTTTTTTTTACCTCATCAAAGAGGTTTATTCTGCACTCTTAACACAGTGTGCATTACCTAAGCACATTTAGTGTAACTTGAAAAACCCGATATTAAATTAGAAAACCAAAGTTAGGCCTATAGAATTTTTTCCTCTTTCCTCTGTTTCCATGCTAACAATGGGCAATTTTAAAATTTTGATGCTGTCTGCACAGCTAGAAATACCGATCGTCATTTCTGTTAAGTTTTATAAACATAAAAATATGACCCCGGCAGTATCTAAAATCTCCATTTCTGAGTTCAAGCACTGTATTAACTTTTTCTTCAGGACGGGGGGGGGGGGGGGGGGGGTTGATTTATTTATGTGTAGCGAAAGTTATCTGGAATTAAATTCTAAAACATGTTTTTTTGATAATGAGTGTAGGTGGTGATTTTTCAAAAGTACCATTTTTTTTTACCAAGATATTAATCTGTAGCTTGTTTATTATTTTACAGTGAATGGCAGACATGAAAAGGGTTCTCAACACTCATAAATTTAATTACAAAAGCTCAATATTACTACAAACAATTAATGTAGGAAAGCAGGCACTTGGAAAGCAATTTCAGTTTAAGGGCACAACTTAACAATTTCAGTGGGTGGGGGCACAGCGGAACAAGAAATATTCTTTTACAAGAAAAAAAAATGGGGGGGGGGCTTTATTATTGATGGGACACGACCATCGAGTAGTTTTGTTCTGAGGACCCCCCCCCCCTCCCCCGGGGGCTTCCTTCGGGCCTGAAAAGAGAGGAATCTTTGACAATACTTACTGTGGTAAATTTGCTTGAAATAGATTCCTGTTTGTGGTTTTTATGTTCAGTTGGCAGCAAACTCATTTTGTAACAATTGATTTTCAATCTTACTTTTAATAACATCAATCAAAATAACAAGGAATCAGAATTTAATGTGTTTACTTTACAGATCAATTCGTCATTCCTGGTGTTACTCAAGCAAATTTGAGATCACATCATGGCTACTTGTATGCTTCGAGAGCAGTGGACGGAATCTTTAGCTTAAGTGGTTTGCAATGCTCCCATAGTGGTGACTATTTTGATGGTGTTCTAGTAAATCGGACGTGGCTATGGATAGATTTAGTTAATACCGTCAGTGTTAAATCAGTCAAATTTTGGTACAGAAATGACAGTAAGTCAAAATTAGATCAGAGTATTATTTTTTAAGCTCTCCCTGAGCCATGGGTTCAGGCGAGCTTTTCTGTTATAGTTGTCTGGCGTCCGTCTGTCTCGAGCCAGGTGTTGTCTGTAACCTGCACACTTTTCATTAAATTTGAATCTTTTTACTTAAAAAAGACCGGACAAACTTCAAACAAACATAACTGGTGTATAGGGAATTCAAATTTGTTCAATGAAGAAACAAGCCCTCTTTCAAAGGAAATAATTATAAGAAATAGGGAAAATGTCATTGAAAAACATTCTTCTCAAGAACCACTCAGCGAGTAAAAATTAACTTATATGAAGGCTCTCTTTACATTGGAGTCTTGAATCAAGTTTGTCTAAATAATGGCCCTGACAGGGATTAGGGTGGGCCGTGCCACCAAAGGGTATCAAAGTTTTACTTTCCTATATATATATATATATATATATATATATATATATATATATATATATATATATATATATATATATATATATATATGAAAAAAAATTGATCTTCTCAAAAAATATTAGGCACTTGTATAATCATTATCATTAATAAGCAAACCTTCTTTAAAGGTCAGTTGAAAAGAACTTTCACTTTCATTTATCCTACCCATTAATACCGGTCCTTTAAATAAATCATAGAATTCAAATTATTATTACAACAATGCTTAATTAAAGTTGTTTTGGAATGTTTTATAATAATATACGGGAACAATCGATTAGTTAACATTAAGTCAATTAAAAATTTTCACTGCGTTTCAGTTTTTTCTCTGTTTCAAATACAAATGTCAAAGGAAGTTTCACGGTCCTCAAGTGACCGTCAATGTCTTTATTTCTCTTGTTTTGCCTATGGAGGAATTTCTAGCTTTATATGCAGAAAACTAGGCTTACTATATGCATAAATGGCCCTGTTAACAGACCCATAAATTAATTGTCATTCCAAGTGTCATTTAAAATATTAACTTTATACTTTCATATATAATAGGTCCTTCGCATCGTCCACAAAAAAAGGAGATTTGAAAAATGCAAGTTCTTGAATTTTTCCGGAAAAAAATATTTGAATACTGTAAATAATGCAAAAAACAAAGTCAATTGCAGAGTTTCCGAAAACCATCGGTCCTACCGGCAAAACCGGTAGCCTACCGGCAAATACCGGCAATTCGCTATATTCTGATATATCCGGTCCGGGTGACCGATTGTTGTGATCGAAGGCTTGTCTTGAGACACAGTTACATTATTCTTATAAATTGTACTCTGATCTATTGCCATGTCTCGAGGGGTGTGCAGTTAGCATCGCTAGCATTTTTTGGGGTCGGGCTAGTAGTTTTTTTGCCGAGATATTAACCCCTGGGGGTAGTAAAAGTCAAAACTACTAATGCACTGTGATACATGGAAAGCACTACTGATATTTTCACTCATTCTTTGCTATTAAATTCCCGCTAAATGAAAAAAATCCAGGCAGCATGCTCCTGTTGTTCGTAAATCTCCATAATCTTATCCATTTTGAAGTACTTTTTTTCCTAATCCGAATTTCCTCCATTCCTCTGTTTATGGTAAACACACGCAGATATCTCGTTAAATTATTTACGGTCACTCAGTCAACTGAAAGATGAGTGTTATGTGATTTACATAAAATATAGTTCTAATGTATTTAAGGATTAAAGATGAAAAAAAATTGCTTCAGTTTTAGACGAGCTAGTGCAATGCCTAGAAAAAGGGAAGGTAATTCATTTTTATTTTCTATCATAATTATTAATTTGTATATGATTCAATTTTATTACAATAGAGAATTAAACTTTCAATTTTAAAAAGAATGACCTTAAGTCCCTGACTTTTTCCACAGTAAACTTTATTTCATATAAGTTGTTATATCCCCCCCCCCCCCACTTCGGCTAGCAACTTTTTACTTGGGGCTAGTGACTTCATTGCTGCCACTAGCCCTTGGGCTAGTGCTTGAACTTAATTGCATACCCGTTGTCTCACAAGTTATAGTTAAAGTACATTTTATCGAGTGTATCATAGATAATCAAGGGGGCGGTGACGAGTTTGCGAAGCAAACGAGTCTCCGCCCCCTTGATTATCCATGATTCACGAGATAAAATGTAATTTAAGGTCAAGATCTAGTAAATGAAAAGAGCCTACAGATTTCTCAAATTTGAGAAATAAATTCCTTTTATGATGCTTTATAACTATAGCTCGGTCAAATAAGGTGTATCGGGGCATAATTTGCAAGAAAACAAGACGAAAAACCATCTTGTAAACTGTCATTTTCAATGAAAAATTAAGAAAGCCAGTCACGAATATGGGAGTTTTTTCCATATCAGACGAAGGAAATGTATTCAGATTGCCTACAGTCTCTCAGAAAACGGTAATTTGTATGTTCTTAGCCTCTTCTTTGAGACAATGTAAAATTGAATATAGGTATCGGGATTACTTTTCACATGATTTCAAATTGAATGCCATGAAAATACTTTATTTTCTACATAATTCTATTGGAGCTGTAAAGTACGGGAAAAGGAAAGTTTAAATTGATTATGACGTCATAATGGATCTAGCACCGAAAAGACGGTCTAAAGTCATTTACTAGATCCTGACTCGTACAGCCTTCGTCAAACCTTTTTTTCAGTACATGCCCTTTGGGCAGGTTTAACCACTTATTACACTAGCCCGAACAAATATTTACATGCCGAGAATTTTATCAAGTAATTTTTTTCTTATTTGCCTTTTCATGCCAGGGAAATGATCTGAAATCCATTTCTATCGATCTATTGTCTCGCCATTGGTATTGTTTTCAACCTGTACATTTTGTGTCTCCTTTGCAAAAGAGTTCCTTTGGAATTGCAGTAGAATAAACTATCGTTAAAATTTTATTTGGTACTCCACTTTAGAAGAAAAATCAGACTTTTAAGTACATTTAATGTTATTAGTATTATCTAATTTGATAATACGGATGCTTAGGCCTCAGAATTTACATGTCCTTCGGGCTTGTACATGTAAGTATGCAATATCCACATGCCCGCTTCCAATTTTACCAGGTCCCGGGCTTCGGACTCCCGGGATTTGTCGAAGACTGTTTGTATCAACGAACCAATCAGAAAGCTCGGAACATTAGAGCGAAAAATTTTCCATAAAACAGCGTGGGAATGTATCATTTTTTCCCGTAACATAACCCTCGAAAATATCAAGGATTTTCGTAATACAGCCGCGAAAGTATCGACAGCATTTGATAGATTTCGTTATATATTCCCGCTCTGCAACCGGCGTATTATTGGTTCTATAGACTATTGGGACATTCCGTAGTAATTTTCCGCTAATTCCTCTTTATATTCTGGGGATATTTCTGCGCACTTGTCATTTACTTCGATGAAGTTGAGGTGGATGGACGTATTAGAAGATTTGTCGGCCACTAACCTTGGCGATTTAGGTGATATAGACTCTTTTACCATATGCAGAGTTACCGAAGAAGATATTAAACTCTCGCAGGTATTTGATGAAATTGAAGAAGAAAATGCCATATCCGAGGGTCTGTGTGAAAAGCTGTATTTAAACCGTGCAGAAAATATGGACAGTGAAATTGGTATCGAGTTTGGTTCTTTCAACCTAGATACAATGGACCCAGTAGCTGATATTTCCAATCCAAAGCCTCGACCAGTGAAATCGGAACCCGTTTATAATGGTGAACGGTTTGAAAAACCGGTGACGGATGATGAAATTTCAAAATTGATTGCGTCGAACGAGAATGCTAACACCAAGAAAAATACCACGTGGGCTCTCAAGGTCTTCGAGGAATGGCGGGAGAAACGTACTGGTAGTTCCGTTGATAAAATACCACTCTTACATTTAATGACGACAGAGCAGTTGAATTTCTATTTGGGGCGCTTTATTGTGGAAACTCGGAGAAAAGATGGCATTGAAAACCCTCCCCGATCTTTCTACCTCATATCGTGTGGGATATTGCGCCACCTCAGAAATAAAAACATCTTCGACAAAAACATTTTGGACAGTAATGACCCAAGGTTTAGTGAATTCCGGAAAATTCTGGACAGCAAAATGAAAGACCCTCTGAAGCGCGGGTTTGGGACGGCGATTAAGCAAGCTGAGCCGATTATGCCACAGGATGAGGAAAACGTGTGGGAGAAAGGTGTATTTGGGGGTGACTGTTCCGAAAGTCTTCAACATACCATGTTCTACTATAACTGTAAACTCTTCGGTTTAAGGGAGCATGACGAGCATCACGAACTTGAGTGTAGTCAGTTTGTTCTTGGGGAGGACAGCTCTGGAAAATACGTGGAATTCATTGGACGTGCCAGTAAGATTTACAAGGGATGGTTGGCCCAAATGCAGCTGACAAACAAACAGATTCGACATTACAATCACCTGGTAAGATACGATTTAATTACTTGGGTATATAATCGAATTTCGATCTCATAATTATATACACATGATTAATGTTAAGTAACGACTCGGCTCAATTCATGAATAACATAACCCATATGCGCCCTATTTATTTTTTATTAATAATTATTATAGGTGAACGTTGCATCGTAGACTTTTACAAGACTTGTTTGGCTGGCCTAGGTAACGAGGGACCGTTTTATCGACGCCCGTTGCAGGGACATCCGCCAAAATACGGGAACCAGGTTGTAGGTGTAAACAAGCTGAAGACCATGATGAGGACGATCTGTACAAAAGCTGGACTGTCTGGACAATACAGCAACCATTCAGGAAAACGCACGTGTGCCACTCAGTTGTATATGGCAGGGGTGGACGAGCAAGAAAAAATGAGGAGGACTGGCCATCTCTGAGAAGGCAGTACGTAAATGTAAAAAAAAAAACCCTTGCGACGAGATTTCCTGAAGGGTGTCGGAAGTACTCGATCCCGGAGTGCCGCAGTCGGATGAGAAAAGAAAGCGCCGCGAGGAGACTAAAGACATGGAAACTGAAAATGAAGGTCCTCAGAAGAAAATACCCCGTTTGTTTGCTTCC